CAGAGGAGCTTACACTCTAATGTCCCCTCCAGTCACACACTGTTATTATACATGTAATAGCTCTGACATAGACTGCAGTGCTGTACAGAGATGAGCTGGGCATATACGGGGCATTCTGTGTATCACCTCCTTGTAGTGGGGTTAGTGGTGGCTCTGGGGGGGGTCCTGGGGGGTCTACATATGTTTGTGTTCTCCGCTCTGTATTTCCTCTCCTTGCATCGTGTCTACATTTGCCGTGGTTGCAGCGTGCTCTTCGTGTCTGTACATTGTTTCAGGTGCCCTGAAGAGTCACTCTGAGCCGCACAGACCACAAATCACGGCTGTCACGCTGGCAGCGGTCCCCGTCATTGCTCAATGATGGCGGAGAGGCGGATCCTGGCTACATGACCAAACATCTCCCTCTGTCTGCAAGTAACAGCAAGGGGGGGAGAGATTAGGGAAACCAGGAGGATGAGGGGGGAGAGCACGGGGATCACAGGCTCAATAACAGACTCTGATCCCCTTGCAGACAGGCAGCAGAAGATCAGGACATTTTGTTTTTTATCAAAGCACAGGGATCAGAGCCTATCATGCGTGCCTAGACCAGCCGGCCCGCCCATCTGCATCATCAGTTGCTAGGCAGACAGGGGGCTGATAAAAAAAAAATATATAAAATAAATACATTTTATTTGGGATGTTGGGGTGGAGAGAGAAACTGCATGGCAGGTAGGGGGCGTGGCTTGGTGGGTAGGGGCGGGGGCCCAAGAAAATGTTTGCCCAGGGTCCAATCAATATTAAAGATGGCCCTGGTTATCTGGATCAGATCCTCTGCGAATTAGTACAGATCCGGGTTTTCTATTTTTCTGGCCTCAGAGAATCGTTTCCCTGTTGCAAACTGGATTCAGAACTTGTAATAAAATGATAATAAAGAACGAAGCGAATCATTGCGTCCCTTCAAATAGATGTGATGTCTCCTTCTTCTTCCTCCTCTCATTCTCTGTACAGGATTAAGAGATGCAGGCGGTCACCAATCAGCCCGGCTCCGTCACCACGCAGACCGTGATAGTCAACGAAGGGATGCAATGGAGCACCGACATGTGTGACTGCTGCGATGACTGCGGCATCTGTACGTATCGCCCAACACCCCCCAGAGGGCTACGCTCAATTCCTGCAATATAACAATATTCCCCTAGAGGGCGCCAGACACCAAATCCTCTACAGGGCGCCCTCTGGTGGTCTCAGCACAAGAATGTGTAACTTCTTCCTCTCTCTCCTCTCTTTCTTTGCCCATCTGCTCTCTCCTCTCTTCTCTATCTACTCTCTCCTGTCTTTTCTCTCCTATCTCGTGTGTCCCCCCTCTCTCTCTCTCTCTTACCATCTGCTCTCTCCTCTCTTCTCTATCTACTCTCTCCTGTCTTTTCTCTCCTATCTCTCGTGTGTGTCCCCTCTCTCTCTCTCTCTTACCATCTGCTCTCTCCTCTCT